TCCCGCAAGTGATTTCACGGCGGCGGGAACTGTGTAATTCTTCACTCCGCACGATGTACACACACGACGCGGTCCCCCCGCTAATTCCTAGTGCGTACCCCGTGATTTTCACGGCGGCGGGAAGTACTGGCAGACATTTTGCCAGAAAAACGTACATTATTAAAGTCACAATGGTCAATGACCGTGTCTAGAGAGTCGAAGTCGGCGGCCGCCGTTGATAATTTTCTGCGACGCTCGAAATTGCAACTGAATTTGGTGAAGCTACGATTTGATCATAGAAACGCTGAACAAAAAAAATAACGATACTCTTTGGTCCTGAATGGAACAGAATTATAGATTATTTAATGCGTTTGGCTTTAATATTGGTACTGTTTGTTCCTGAATAAAGACAGATTATGTGATACTAGTAGTTTGCTTTGGGCAAGGAGGTTCGTAGGGGAAATGCTTTGGGAAAGTCTCTTTTTCCTTTCTTGTTTACGAGGAATTCACCATTCCCACGCTGCACGTATTTGATTGACAGACGGTACCTTTGAAGACGTCGCCGTCGGCGCCCCGGAGTCTGGTCGGCTTCCGGACCTAAGAATTCAATCAACTGAGCAGCCAATGAGCACTGAGAAAAATTTAAAGTCGGTCTTTCTTTCAACCCCCTATGTTCTACCAAGGAGATTGTCGGATATTATTGTCTTCCATGGTCTAAAAAGGAGAAGTCAACCCCCTTAGACATAGTTTTAGACATAGCTATAGCTTTAGACAACTACCTTTTATCATGTAGATTTTAGTTATTTTATACTCTGTTTCATTGTTCTTTTATGTTTGTAATTTGCAATTAGCCCCCGGGCACGAATTTGCAATAAACTTCTCATTGTTGTCATTATTATTCGTGATAACAAATTGAAGTTGTACGGACTCAAGTTATACACTTTGCTGAGCCGCCGCTTGTATCAAGGAGGTTAAAAAGGACTTCGTTAAAAGTCGTTCGTTATTCCTGTGTTCTAGTTGAAATGATGGCTGTGAACTTCAGTTGTGCTGGCTCGTTCTGTCAACTATGGTTACTGACAACTTTAATTAATCAGAAGAACTCACGTTTGCTTTGCTTGGACTTTTTTGTTGTGAAATGGATTCATTTCGTGTAAGAAAATTTGGATACATGTATTACTAACAGTGACTTGTAACTTTACTAAGGCGATATAACAACTAACGTTACTAACAGGAACTCAGTCGAGCCAACTTACATTAACCAACTCCATTTTTTATAAATTTGTGCAACTAATGGATATCCAAATAAAGTATTCACAATTATGTTAACATCCATTCAAAATATGGACATCATGACAACCGGCGCCCCGTGTGCCCCGCTTGCTGTGATCTGAAGCAAGACTGCTAAGAAACTACGTAACACATACTAATCTGCTTGGTCTTTGCGAACAAATTTTGCTTTCTGTTAATATTTCTTAATAAAGCTTAATTGCCACAAATTTGGCGTTTTTCACACAAACACAGCAAAAATCGTCAACAAAGCCGACGCCCTTTACTTTACATAAGCGAATGCTATACTGTTACACCTTTCCCTGCGTGTTTTCTCACTAAATACCGTTCATATGACATCAAATATCCCACATGCCATTACTTAGTATTTGAGAAATAAGACTACATTTCCGCTATAAACTTCAGTCCGTGCCTGTGGTAGTTTGGGGAACAATATGGCGGATTTTCTTACCCAAGCTATACCGTAATGCATTGCGTGGGAAGCGTCTTTGGGTTACATTACGCCGCCTGGCAGACAGACCGGCGAGAGCTCAGCGCTATCTCGGTAGCGTCATAGGCCACCAAGCAAACTTTATGCAGACGGCTTAGGTTTTTCCTCTTACAACGTCGGCGCAATAGCTTCTCCACATTCTCCTTGACTTTAGATATCAGAATACTAGTAAACACACCGCACCGTCTCTACGTACTGTTAAAGATTTTGATTATGAACAAGTAACAACTACAAGGGCATTCCGTATCACCCCAGGTGTAGTAGTATATAACCCCGACAACAAATACAGCATTTTCAACAAGGAAATGTGGCAAAGCCGCTTATGATGAATGGTCTTCTCAAGACACGACAAACGCACG